ATATACATTTTACGATCGATACTAATATATAAATGTAATTAATATATACATCAAAACTGCGAGCTGACAGGTCTGAGCGCCGCCATGTTAGAATGACGCTGACCAATAAGACACGAGCGACATACATATCAACGCGACATACATCCTAGCGAGATGATTTTCTAGATTTCTCGACTTTGAATGCATATATTTATTTTATAAAGCACACAGAGCAAAAACCAAGCAGACTTTTCTTATGTAATTTGGGTATGCGCTATCGATTGAGCCTATTGCCAACTCAATCGGCCCAGCCGTTATCGAGATCCGATAATCTCGGCTCGTCTCAACTTTCGGGCTCGCGTAAAGATACACGGTCGGTCTTGCGCTTGCGTTGCGCGCTGCGCGTGAACTTGGCGCGAGACACTACCGTGTCTCTTGATATATATTCCATCTAATTTGTATTATTTGTGAAAATAGCATGTGTATTAAAAATTGTGTATCTTCTCTTGGTTTATTATCTCGGATTTAATTCGAATAATTTCTATCGTCCATTTTAATGTTTTTAGAAATTGAGAAAAGCTGCAAAAAATTTAATAACGGAATAAACTTCGAAATATCTATTAATGATTTTGGAGAATAATTAAATTTGTGACAAAATTGCAGATTTAAAAATTAAATGTGACATATCTACCATGTTGAAATTTGTGAAATTCCCAAGTTTCGATTATATGTAATGACGCAAAATATTGGTCATGTGAAATATGTTTAAATTGAATAGCAAATTTTCTTTAATAATAGTAATAAAACAGAAAATCTTTGTTAATATTATTTTAATTTAAATATTTTGAAATTGAATATTACATATTGAATAATGAATATTTCGCATTATTGTTCGCAATTACTTTCACTAAAAAACTTATCGAGTTTCATTTAATGTCAACAAGCTTAAACAGTAATATCTGTAACAGCTGTTATAGTTGCTATTTCAAGCTCAAATTTCCATATTCATTGTCCATGGCATCTAGCACTAGTGTTTGCAGGAAATGTTATCAAGCGTAAAACATACCAAATATTTCTCGCGCTTTGTTAAATTTATGAAAGTTAATTATCAATATTCGTCTTAAAGCAAGACTGACTGCAAGATTTTACATAATAATTTCCACTTCGCAAAATATACGCTGCATTAAAAATCTTTAAATTAACTGTTACGCCATAAAACGTAATTCTAATGCAGCTGCAACGCTTTTCGTCGCTTTCGTTGAATATATCGGAGAAATACCAGAAAAGCTATTTATGTCAGGCTAAATTTAAATGCAATGGTAATGATAATAATAATAATCGAATAATAATTGATTGACGATAATAATGAATTTAAATGTCTATATAATCTAACAATTCTCATAACTATAATTATATTATGTGTCTCGTTCTCGATGATATTATTGTAGTCATGCTTGTCATGCTTAGTACCACAACGTTTAGCGCTTATAATTTTTTAAACTTGGCGCCTTTTCGCCATTTGGTGTCCCTCTATCCTCATATTGTTTCGTTGTGCCGAGGCATCAAGACGTGTTAGCGATCAAAATTAAGAAGATAACGTTCTTCCAGATATAATAGGATGTCAGAACGCAAAGTTAAAAAGCGAGCGAGATCCCGATCACGGAAAGATCGTCATTCTAAAAGAAAATTCGATCAACTACAACAACATGTGGATAACCTCACAAAAATCGTCGAGAAGTTGGTGAGCGTCCAAAAAGTACAGACCGCACCAACAGTCACAAAAGAAAAGAGAATACGTGCAATACTAATATAATGGGTAAGTAAAACATAAAGTCGACGAAAAATCTCATCTTTCCACACGAAAGTTGAGAGGTTAAACCCACACGGTTTTACCATAGTCCATACGACTTACATAAGACGTCAATGTGATAAAGTTCAACAAGAACGTTAGTATCACAAATTGCACAATAAGTGCCATGTGTCTTTACATAGAGAATCGTTGTGATAAAGTTTCAATAAGAACGTTAGTATCACAGATTGCACAATAAGTGCCATGCGTCTGTATATAGAGATTCGTTGTGATAAAGTTTCAATAAGAACGTTAAGATCACAAATTGCACAATAAGTGCCCTATTAAAAAATCTTCCTTTCCTTTCTTTTTGTTAGAAAACGAGGAGAATAAAGAAAATAATCCGAACGTGGAGGAAATCGCAGATGTCGCAATCGGAAAGGAAGAGATAACGGAAATGGTTTCTGAACAAGAAAAAGACAGCGCTTTAAAAGTATTGGGAATGGATCCCAAGGATTCCAAATTCAAGCAGGTTAAATACCATCCAGAATTAAAAAATACATGGCTAAAATGGAAGAATGAAGGCCTTCCAGAGAAAAATAAGAAGGAGATTTTGGAATCTTACAATAGAAAAGGCGACTTATATATGGAAGCTCCTCAGTTAAATTTGGAAATAATTCCATTCCTCACAGAGGTTGCAAAAAAGAGGGACCAACATTTTACAGATACCCAAATTGTGTTGGTACAGCCATAGCCGCCTTAGGTGCTGCAGTCTCCATGTTATTAGATCCTCCAGAAGAAGGATTAGATGAAGACATATTTACCGACTATATAAGCCACGCTGGGCAGATCTTAACAGATGTCTTTCATCAACAATCAATAGCGAGAAAGTCATTCATTACACCACAATTAAACAAGAGTATTAAGCCAGTGGTGGATACAATGTTCTCAGATGATTGGCTTTATGGAGATAATCTCAAGGAAAAAGTCAAGGATGTGAAAGAAATAGAAAAAGCTTGTGCAAGCATCAAAGACAAAACGCCACAAAAACACACATTCAGGTTTCGCGAACAGGGAAACTCGAAATACCCACCTGCGGGATACCGGCAGGTGGGTCAACAACCAAGGCGTCGACAAATGAGATTCAAGACAAAACCATTCAAAACCTTCCAGAGTTCGTCCAAAACAACTCAAGCACCAAACCAATCATTGACGAAGAAATAATTCCGGTAAATAAATCAGCAGGGCGTCTTAGTTTTTTCATAGAAAGATGGAAAAGTATTACCTCAGACAGGTATATTCTAAACTGTTTAAAGGGTTATAGAATTCCATTTATAGAAACACCGATTCAGAAATCGGTCCCTAAAGAAAAGACCTTTTCTGCTAAAGAATCGGAAAAAAATACAATTAGAAATTAACGAACTCCTTAAAAAAGGCGCGATTGAGAAATGTAAAGATTGTGAGGGACAGTTTCTTTCTTCCTACTTCTTGGTTCCAAAACCTGATGGTACGAATCGTTTCATTTTTAATCTTAAAAAACTAAACAACTTTATTAACCCCCCACACTTTAAATTAGAGGATATTCGATCAGCAATGAGTTTAATATCACAAGGAAGTTTTATGGGCTCTTTAGATCTTAAAGATGCATATTTTCTGGTTCCCATCTACGAGGGTCACAGAAAATTTCTTTGTTTTAAATTCAAGGGAAAAACTTTCCAGTTTTTGTGTTTACCCTTTGGATTATGCACTAGCCCGTACGTTTTTACTAAAATTATGAAATCTGTTGTCAGTAAATTGAGACTACAAGGAATAGTGTTGGTATTATACTTAGATGATTTTTTATTTATTCACAAATCAAAAATTATATGTGAAGAAAATATAAAGAAAGCAATAGATATTCTGAAATACTTAGGATTTATTATAAACTATTAAAAAAGTTCTTTAG